TTTCAGAATAATTATAAGACACAGCCAACTTAACATAATTTTACAAACTAAAACATTTCAAAAAAATATATACTTCACCAAATATGCAAAAATATAGACATATAAACAATTCAAAGTCCGATATTTGATTCTCTTTCTGAAATCTAAAATATAGCACATGATATTTAAACTTATGGCTCTTTATAAACAACTATCATTTAAAACTACGGCTAAAATAGGTGAAATAAAATAATCGACTACACCATTATGGTTACAAGTAGAATATTAAAACAGATCTACTGCATCAAATAAAATAATTTACGTGCACATGGCACAGTTCATGTCGCTGACGTCATTGTTGTTTTATTACAATACTTGTCGGTCTTTTGAAATACGTACTATTGACAGTTCTCGCTACAAATATGATGTAAACGCGTTCCGTTCTTCTCGTCGAGTTTCCGGTCTATTTTTTTTCTCTGTATTTTACTTCGTTTGGAAGATAGTTCTTGTCAGTGCCGCATAATTGTAATACAATTGTAATCCATAGTTGCAGATGAGTGGGGCGTTTTGTTTCATTATTGTTAGGTAATGTTCAGTAACAAAGTTCTTGGGAGGAGGGGGGGTGCAGCACGTTCTATATGCGACGGTCTGACAACTCTGCATCACGTGTGAATAACTGCTCGCAAAGAAAAACGTCCGAAGTTCGTCGAATGAAAGACAGCGCATCTAGTCTCTTGAAGAATGCTTCTTGTTTTAAACTGATCGATTTTAACTGGATTGCGTTGACTGGATAAGTGCCATCGAATTGGTATGTTGGTGTGACGCATTTTCCACGACTACAGAAAGAAATAAATAAAAAAAAGAATGTGGTTACTATGGCAACGGTGAGCAAACAATGAAAATGGGTGAGTAAAATGTTCTCTCTGTGTCCATGACAACGGAATTTATGAAACGATATGCCCGAAGAGGGGTAGAATGGGAACAAAAAATAATCTGCACCTCCGTAAAATTAAATAAGAAACGTATTTTCAAGAATTTTTAAAATAAATAATGCCAACCCCGTCCTTTATAACCTGAACTTCACCACCTGACTCACCTGAACACGACGACGTTGTCACCACGGGTTTGTACGCCAATGCCGCTGGTCTGAGCACGTCTGAGTTCAAGTTGGTCCCCGATGAACAAGGGAAGCCGTTACCGGAATGCCAGACACTGTGGCCGAGGGAGCTGGACATGGCAGTAGTAGCACCGTATGTAGGGACGTACGTGGGGTTCGGGTGATGATATGGCGATATCGTTAAAGTTGACGGCACGAAGCTACCCACATTTGGAAGAGAGGGGTCCTGAAATTGTAAAAAAACAACATTTAATTACTAACTTATAAAACTCACAATCAAATATAACATATATAAAAATGATAATTATGAAATTACAAATATCAACTCATTCTTTTCAGTAAAACATTTTCGAAGTTATTCAACTGAAAACGGAAATTTGTATCACACAAGTTGTCGCCTGCCAACTTGAAAGTTGTGTACATTTCACCAAGTTCGAACACGCGGCAACGACCGTGACTGTAAAAACAACAAACACATCGCATTTAAGATTCTGCTTCAAAATACTGGGATATTCTCCAAAGATTCATTTTTCCTTAAAATAGAAATGAATGTAGGTATTTTTCCACTGTCATCTTATCGCTATTAAACTATACAAAGAAAAAAAAACCCGAACGAAAACATTGCTGTATTCACAGGGAAACATCGCACCGACCGTGCGCGGACGATAAACAAAGATGGCCACTATGGGAGAGAAAAATTATCTATAGACCCATCTTTCAACGTACCGTTGGCGAGATCGACATCTTGCCAGTATCGCCTTCCAAGTGAGATTTTTCTGCTTTGACCGACTCGCAATGCATGCTGCTCCGCTGGTGGTCTGCTGGTCCAGGGTAGCCCGTTGTAGCATGGTGCGGTGGTCTCGAATAGTCAGCCAGACTACTAGCAGCGTGCGAATGGCCGGTGCTATCTGGATACATGGCAAATGGCCCTGGAAAAAAAAAACGAAATGCATGTTTGAATTTCATCTTGAAAAAAACAGTAATATAGGATATCGTGCTAACTGTGAGTCATTCTGTATTTATTTTATCGATTTTCGCCGTGAAATCTTTTCATGAAAATGTTTGCCGTGGTTACAATCACAACGCCACGGTGAAATATACAAACATCTGAACCTAATGCTGTGTTCTTAGACAGTGCAAGTTTTAAATGGGGTTCGTGAGGGTTTGTGCTGTTGTTACCATGGAAACACGAATAAATGTGATTCCCCTTGATATTGATTAGATTTTAATTTATTTAAACTGATTAAAATGTAATTCTTGATCGGAATCTTTTTCTTTATATAATTTCAATGAACTAAACGTTGCGCAATTTGTTTTTGTTGAATATTACCGTGGACTTTGCGAAAGTTGTTGAAATTCCTTTTACCACACCGTGACGATGGATGCAAATTTTATATTAACAACAGTGATAAGATTCCAATTACCATCGAGATACATTCGATTATCAATAACATCAATATTGATACGACTATTTATTGTATAGACTATGTACTAAAATATGAAAATTTATTTGTAAATATCGAGGTGTTTCTTAGTTGAGTATAAAAAAAACGGATTACGAGTTTCGCAATACCGATTTTAATAGCAATTTAGGGAAAGGTATATACATGTAAGTATAGGTATGAATGAAATTAAACATCACGAGTATGACTCAAATTTGCAATAATTAAAATAGACAAGAAGTGGCAAACCAGTTCAATGTCTAAGCCGAGAAGCTGCGATATTCTCCTTAAAACGCCGAGTCTCCGTCAATTACACGGTCTTCAAAACGCATTGTTCTACGGACGCACCGTGCCCCCGAGGGAAACAAATCACCGTCGGTTGTCTATTTCGCATTAGGGTATCTAGAACGCTTCCACTATACTGCGACACGATGCAGAATAAACGAATTGGAACGACCGCTCGACTTCTAAAAATTCCTAACACACCATGCAGCTAATAATCATCGACGTTTACCGACCTGGTTTATGGCCTTTTTAGAGTTTTTATTTATTGTAAACAATGTTTGAGAAATCGAGTCAGTGTCGATTTGATGCTAAACGCCATCTAACAGTGTCGTTAGCGGCCAACCAACCGCATCGAAGCATGGAAAACATTTACCAACCACACATGTATCTTGGTGTAACTCAAAATACGGCATCGATCGTGGTTTTGTATTTATTTATCCAACTACTCGGTGCAACTGAATATGACTGAAGCAAAATCTGGCCCAAAGCGATGAAAGCGAGTACGTTTTTGAAAAAAAAAAAAGTCGTTCATTCGAAGCTGGGGGAGACTACGGTCGTCTTTATTACACGTCCAAAACAGATGCGGCCACTGCGAGTATATCACTGGGTATGATTGTTTGTGGTGCAGCTAAAGAAAATAAAACACATTTCCCTCGTCGTGTCTTCCCTTCAGCAAAATCACGTTTCCTCGGCCAAATAGATATTAGCCTGTAAACCAATCCCCGTGGTGTTGCTAAATGTGCTGAATCTTGAAGGCGCAGGCCCCATCGGCCTATTAAAAATGGCAACCATTCTCCGATGGTGTTAGAAAGAGGTGGATGCAACGTCGTTAAAAGTGGCATTACTGAAATCTGGAACGTGTTGCTTACATGGAAACTAACTGACAGTCAATAAATAACGATGGTTTACACACTGTTAACGAGTAAAGTGGGTTTTCGCTGCAGATACATATGTGCGAAAATAAGCCGGACATTTTAACTTCTTTTAACCAAATTCTGATTATGAACCTTTAGCTGGACGTGCAGATTTTTGGTGAATACAAAAAAACAGATAATATTTCAGCATTAAAATTCAAGTCACAGTTACTTCTAAATATCAAGACATGATCTATCAGGATCAAGTTCACTGGCAATCACTCGGCCTTGTGTGGAGGCGGGGATTCCCTAATGAGGCAGTCCGCTGATTTACTGTCGTGGATTTCGATTGAGGGTGCCGATTTGATCTGCAGACATCGAAAAAATCCGTCGCAATCAAAATAAAGATACGACTATTTCTGAGGATGATTCGATGCTAGTCATTCGTCAAACGCTCTTCACCGGGGCAAAACAAATAAACATAAATTTGTTTGGAATATAATTAATCACTGGGGACTTATTTATTTTATTGTGTCTTAAAAGTACTGGTAAATGCTGGATAATTTCTATTCCCATACCCAGCCATTACTCAACACATAACTCCAGTGCGTGACCCCGGTTGCCCTACTATTCGGTCATGTACTCATCTCTCGCGGCATGTGCGGGGAATCATAACAGCCTCGAAACTCTGCCAGTGGGCCATGCGCACCGAACGCCACTGACTCCACGTCATTCAGCTATGTGAAGTGAATTGGGGGAATCTTATTGCAGATAAGGACACGTTCAAAAGTCTCGTTTTTTGACTGATTTCAATTTTTACGGCAATGTCAGTCTTCTGTCCACTTTCATTCGTGACTTTGCAATAATTTTTACCCCTTCCGAAATCTCAGACTTCACACTAGGCAAATATTGAACGTAAATGAACGGTTAATTTGAGCTTTGTCGAAGGAAATCTCAGTGGATATTCATATTTTTCTTTCTTTCTAAAGCGTGTTTTCAAATATTATAGCCAAAACACACAAGTTTTAATAACCGTTCAGACTCGAAGTGCGATTGTTCTTAATCGCCGGATTTTCGCTATCGGCATTTTTCTCCCCCCATTTGATAGAGTCAATTAAGCGCGCAGTATAATTACCATCGTGGCATTATTAAACTCTCATTCATCTTCAAATATTGTTTCTCTTAAACGAATCGGCGTCTGTAAGTACGGCGGTTACTGAAATCAATGGTGCGGAACCGTTGAAAAGAGTTGGTAGCACGGCGGCGGAGATTGTAGATATTTATATTGAAACCACGAAGAATAAAAGAAAAATATTATGCAGAATTTAATTAAAAGCAATTAACATAAAATGGACTTTATTGCTTAATATCTAATATATTACACATTCAGTATTATTATGGTGATGATAAAAAAAGTTATTACAATTTAGTAATGAAACAAATCAGTAAAATACCCAATATAATTAGAAATTAAAGTTAGAAATCAGACACACATGACGCATTTTCATATCTGACTTACATGTTTGTTTGCGAAATGTACATTTTATTACACCGAGGTCGTTCAATTTACTAGTTGTTACGAGAATTACCGATGTCACTAAACGGCAGAAATGCGGGCGGCAGATTTCACTAAAGAGAAAACGATATCAATCTTCGTGCTCTGTCGAGTCCTAAGCAATGATGAAACATTTAAGCGATAACTAGAAAGTTCTTAGTAGATAAAACTACTGTCGTCAATCGTGAAATTGCGTTAGTAACTTGACTGATGCACTCAATAAAAAGAAAACGAGACGGGATGAATGTCTTCAATTGAATCGGGAATTCTCAAATATAAATATCAATCATTATTTTTGTTATTATTATACAATTATAGCATTTTATCACTTAGACAAACTTTTCGACAAACCATGCTTAATACAGAAAAGCGAAAACACGAAATAATAATATGTATAAGTACAAATGAGCGTTTGCTTCCTGGATGATCGTGATTATCGATTAAATACGAGTCAAAACATACTACAGAATGTAAAATCAACTCATGTTAATGGAGAGAGAAATCTGTTTTAGCAAATTGCTTGCGGGTTAAAAGTTCTGAACGCTTGCAGTGTGGCCGAGACGTAATTCTCACATCGCCACCTGGCATGCATATGCTTCGAGTGAAACAACTCGAAACAACAACTCTTCACGGAGTCTTGCGTATCACCCCCACGGACTCAGCGTTTTAAAACCCAGTGAAAATAACCAATAAAACAAGCCAATCGCAAATACGTGGCATTATGGCAATCTGGGCGGCGGAATCAATTTGCCATTAACGCGGGTCTGATTGATTGTCCATTAGATTCCATGTCTAATGATTACACATGCACTGGGACGAGGATGGGATCACCGAAATGCCGCGACTATATATGTTTATGACAAGACGTTTCCGTCGGAATTTCGCGAGTTTGTCTAACCTTTGAAACGTTCTATAATCTGGAGCGCTGTAATGTAATTCCAGCCGGTCGAATTTGTTCCACGGGACATGCTAATTGTGTGTATGGGGTGGTGACATCAAGATGAAACGCCGCCCTCGCTGTCAACAACCAACAAACCAAATTCCCGCCAAAATGTTGTATAATATTTTGGTACAACATTTTGCAAACTTTTATGTATTTTTTTTCTACAATTTATTTGTTAATTTTGGAACAAATATCTCACTGATACTTTTGAGAAAAAATAGGAATAATTATGATTCAGGCTCATTTGGTGAAAAGTGGAAAATGTGACTGAAAATATTGCTGTAAGATTATAATAATCAGTTGATGAAACCCCGTAGACTAATTTTGTCTTGAGTTCAAAAAGTAGTACAAATTCTTGGGAAATTATAACCGTAACAAATTATCCAATACTCCGATAGTACACATCCACTGCAGGCGTGCTAAACCTTGGAAACCCGACTGGAAGCCCACAAGCCTCAACGAGTGACTGCTTACGCCGGCCACGTGGAAAAACGATATTGAAACGGGAAATTGCCTATGATTGGAAACAGTTTTCCACAGCAGCAAGATGCGCCGCGAGCCTGCAAACAATTCCATACATTTTTACTGACACTTTTCGGTATTGTTTTCACACCCAATTTGTTCTGCTTTGATAATTACATATGATATTACTAATTGGAATTCAAGTAATCTGGCTGTCGAACGTATACACTGACCGTCCTCGGGGGGATAGCTCCCCGCATTGATTGTTGTTTTACGAAGTCGAGTAAATCACATTACTTTCAAGTACGGTACTAAAGCACCAGCCAACCACAGAGCTCCGTGAGCCGCCGCAGAGCTGCCTGACAAGACGAATGTTTGCTTTACATAG